GTAGGTTTTTTTTTTTTTTTTGCATTTATTTTTTTGTAGTCAAGACTTTAAGGTTTGTATCTACACATAAACTTTTAATAATGAACCTACATTGAGACATTAAAAGTTTGACCACTTGACGCTCATCTATAACATATTCTTTTTTATTTTATTTTTTAAATTAATAAGTAGGCCTATCCATTGTTTTAATCTTTAGTTAAACAGGTTTTTGTTTTTGGGTTCAGCATGAACCTCAAATGCTTATCACATGAATGATCTCGATGCATACTGGATGAAGTTAACTGAGGAGAAGTGTGACTGTGGGAGGGGTTGCCAAGCAGCAGTTCATTCACCTCAAGCTCCCCGGACAGGTTAAATACCCCTCCCGTGACGCGCACTCGGGCACTCTCGAGTAAACCCTCAGAGACGAGCACACCCAGCGGGTCTGATCGGTGAAACTCATGTTTCTAGAGGGAGAACGGATTATGAACGCGTTCGGGCAGCAGCCGTCGAGCCAGCAGACCAGTACCCTCCAGCACCACAACGCGCAGGACATCCTGGACATGACCGTGTACTGCGACACCAACTTCAGCATGTACCAACAGAACCTCCACCATCACCACCACCACCACCACGCGCAGAGGCCACCTGCGCATCCTTCCAGCTACGGACTCGGCGAATACACCTCAGCCACAGCCAACCCGTACCTGTGGATGAACAGCCCAGGTATCACCTCATCCCCCTATCTCTCCGGCCCGAACGGAGGCTCTTACATTCAGTCAGGATTTGGGTCGAACCAGCGGCAGTTTCTTCCTCCTCCCACCGGCTTCGGAAACGCGGATCTCGGTTGGCTGTCCATTTCAAGTCAGCAAGAACTTTTCAAGATGGTCAGACCGCCTTATTCCTATTCAGCGCTGATTGCGATGGCTATTCAGAACGCGCAGGAAAAGAAACTGACGCTCAGTCAGATTTATCAGTATGTGGCGGACAACTTTCCTTTTTATAAGAAAAGCAAAGCCGGATGGCAGAACTCCATAAGACACAATCTGTCCTTGAACGATTGCTTCAAGAAAGTCGCGCGGGATGAGGACGACCCTGGTAAGTTTGAATGCTCTTTAGTCAAAGTTTGGCGTGCATAATTACGCGCTAGATTTTAGTGCAATACTAACATGTTTTCCCGTTTATCTTTTTAAGGGAAAGGTAATTACTGGACTTTGGACCCCAACTGCGAGAAAATGTTCGATAACGGCAACTTCAGAAGGAAGAGAAAGAGAAGAGCTGATGGAAACGCCAGTAGCCTGTCGGTAAAATCCGAGGACGCGCTGAAATTGGCGGACACGGCGAGTCTGATGAGCGCTTCCCCGCAGAGCCTCCAGAACTCTCCGACCTCAATCGAACCTAAATCGTCCCCTTCACCATCCGCAGAGCACAGCCCGTGTTTTAACAACTTTATCGGTAACATGAACTCGATAATGGCTGGAAACGGCAACGGGATCAGAAGCAGAGACGTCAGTTCTGGACACTTGGGGGATTTTACGCACGGCATGTCTGGACATGAAATTGCCCCTCCATCAGAACCAGGCCATCTCAACACCAACAGACTGAACTACTACTCAGCGTCCCATAACAACAGTGGCTTGATCAACTCACTCTCCAATCATTTCAGTGTCAATAATCTCATTTACAACCGGGACGGAACAGAAGTTTAGAATTTGTGAACCTCTAATGTGCTCTGTGAGTACATGGACAGTCTGTTCTTACATTAGACTTCATTTCTATACACGCTCACCTCAGTCGCACAGTTCATTTTCATTCAGACTCTCTGGTGTTTTGGGATGCATCAGCAAGTGGGTTTGCATGATTTACATTTATTCTGCTATGAATAAATGGTAACATTGCACCAAACTGTGATACTTAACAAGTCCACACATGTCTATTTCCCAGGCCACCATAACAAGCGCCTTCTGTTTTTTGTAGAACAAATGTAGATAGATTTTATTTAAATGGAATGTTTTTGATTTGTAAATAAACATGCATGTATCTGAAATGTCTGTAGCTTCGATTTCTGTTTATTTGCTGTTTATGATGTTTTCCCATTATCTGCTCAATGGCACAACAAACACAAACACCTAGTGCATCTCAGTGTGTTCCCACGCGATCAGCGGGTGGCTGCAGAGATGCACATAACTGTAACAGCAATTAAGACATGTTTGCATGTTTATGTAGTTTGTTTACAGTAGCTCGCAATTATATATAGTTTGTGGATGGCTGCAATCAAACAGGCAGTTTACTGACAACTTTTAATTAGCTTTTGCACTAAAGTACAGTTTAGTTTTGAACAGTAGCATTGAAAGATCAGATTACACTTGAAATTTTGAGTGAAAATGTGTTGTGTTCTTTCTGGAACCCTAAATTTCAAGGTAATTTAACCAGCGCCCATCTTTTTCCCATAACAGCTCAACTCCAGCAAACATATTGAGTTGACAATTATTTATCAAAAGAATTTCAGGTTTAATCGAGCGTTTGAATTAATCTGTGCCCCCGCTGTGTCTTCTCCTAATTGCTTTCTGCAAAAAGCCAGACACATTTAACTCTTCACTGTCCTCATTATCTCAGGGAAGTTTTTCAGCCTGTTTATTTACTGTACAAGCTCTGGCATTGAATGGAACAGACTCATTTGAGTGATGGTGTAAATAGCCTTATATGATCCGCCGGTTTATCTAGAGATTCAACTTCTCCTTCCACCATTAACTCACGTCCAGTCTGACCTGCATGAAAACAGTAGGTGAGACTGAGTCATTTTCCGCTTGTCGCTTTGCATGCAGCCGATTTAGACAAGTCATCACAGCTTCATATCTGGAGAGTTCAAAAGTTCGGCTGTTTTTCTGGGAGCTTTTATTTACTCTCGGCTTATTTAATGGTGTATAAAAATCCCATGTTTGGTGAATATTACCATTAAGTTAGGAAAACATTATTTCTGAATGTTCTTAGAACATCTCATATTTTGAATGTTTAAAAAATGTTTTTTTTTTTCTTGGTTATGAATGTTAGAGGAAAATTTAAGGGAGAATTTAATTTAATCATTTTGCAAATAATATGGGAAAGTTACTTTTTAGTCTGAAACTTGTCTTTAATGTTTAACAACAGTTAGAAGAACATCCAAAAATGTTTCAGAAAAGCATTCCATGAACGATACATAAATGATGATTCAGAACGTTACTGAAGACCAGATAACCAAAGAATGTTTGTTCATAATTTTGAGAGAACCTTGTCAGAATGTTCTGAGAACGTTCCCTGTTAGCTGGGATGCTGTAAGGTTCACATCATCCTCACTCTTTAAAACCAAATCTAGTGGCTCTAAGGTTCTTGAGTTGTTATATGGTTCTTTGGAGATTAAAAAATGTGCTTATTGAATCATTTTAAATTCTTCAGATGAACATTTCTGGGTTCTTTAAAGCACTTTAAATCAGTTTTCTAACAAACAGAACCATTTTTGTATTTATAAAGGTTCCAATATCACATCAGACTGTAAAACCACTTTGTTCTACTTTTCATCTTGAGGAGTGAAGTTCACTTTAGAGGATTGTGCCACAAACTTTATATGGCTTTTCTGACTTTTTGGTTTCTGCTCATGGTCTTATTTCAAAGTCAGTCTACTCCAGGTCCCATATTAAAGAAAGAAAATGAAAATAAACACATAGGCCTTACTACAATACAACTGAATTGGCTCTGTTGTCTGGGATAAAGCAGAACTGACAGGAGATTCGTGTCCACGGTGCTGGAACGCAAACGGATCTGGCATCACCAGAGACACCCTGCTGCTCTCTAGTGAAAACACAGAACAAATGAAAGCGCATTTCCCTCCGTGTGCCTTTGTTCTAACAAAGGACATTGTTGTTCCACTATTGCAGGATAGATTCTCATAGTGACAATATATCTGTGGTGAGAAGAACATGCAATTGCAATGGACTTAAATGAGGCCAAATTACATGCAATTAGCCTTATTAATTTATAAAACACTATAAGGGTCAATGATAAATAAGAATGTCTAAGATGATAAAAAATAAAAAAAAGTTACTTTTAGTTTAGACTACAAGTGCCTTAAGTTCTAAGTTAACTGCATAACAAATAGGCTAAGTGTAACTGATTCTAAACATCATTAATCAGTATTTAAGCAATTTATTTTCATGTTATGCGTGTTAGGGTCTGTGGTTCTATTTGTTTCAAAGTTTTCTCATGTGATATCATGTTTTTTTTTTTATGTTGACTTTTTATTTATTTATTTTGAAAACACCGAAAATTTGCGTAATTAAAATTTCCCCTTGTAGGCTAGTCTCGACGCATTTTTCCATAAATGGACAAGCAGAACTGTACAATTGCAGTTAAAGTAATAGAAATTAAAAACTGTCTGTTTGTTTTTGTTCATCCTTATAATCGCTGGTTTCTGTCCATTTGCATGAATTATTGTGCAACTGAGTCCAATAGGCGCGGGACTGTGAAACTCTCTTCACATGTTACAGATTGATACCGACGTCATCAAGCATCGATACCTCACGATAGCCGATGCTAAAATAGCCAATAATATGAATTCGCTAATGATAATGTGACATGAAGAAAGTTTAGGCTACATGTTCGTACAGGTAGGCTTAACATGGTTTACTTACCTCAGATTCTATGATTTCCTGTCAACATCAAAGGCGCAGATTATGGTGACATTTTGGGAATTCTGTCCTCTGATCTAAAATTCGAGCAAGCAAGCTGTCAATGTCATCATATTTTTCAGGCTAGCTGTGTCTAGCAAGTTGCTATATAATGAAAATCGATATTAGCCTAAAGGTTCGTTGTCAGAGCTAGCTGTCACGACTTTATACATATTATTATTTACAATATTGGTTGACCAATTTATTTATTTATTAATTCATTCATTTATTGATGTTTTTGTATTTTTGCTGATACATTTTGTTATAATAATCCTTTTAATGGCAGATTCCACTGTGACAACTTACCCCAGTGAGTGTAACAGTTTGGGGCATTTTGTCATTAATTCTTAAACAAACAAACAAATAAGATCTAAGTGCATTCAACGAACTGTATCCTTTTTTATTTCTTGCCAATATATGTAGGAGTGTTGTTGGAATCTTCGTTTTCTTCTATTTTTGTAAATATTCTATAATTGGTGCATTTGATCATTTCTGATATTGTTTGATTTCTTTTTACTCTTGCATTTAAAAGACAACATAAGTAGTCAGAATTTATGCATATTTGTATTTTCTTGACCTCTACCATTATGGGTCATGTAGTAAATCTTGAATATTTTCTCCACAGATGGACACTGACTTGCATGCTGAAGGTGTTGCCCCATTGCTGAAGGTCCAGGCTGACCGCGGGGCCCCTGGGGGCCCTCACCCTTCACCTTTCCCATCTCCCAGGTGCCAGGCTCCTGTATGTGAGGTGAGGATGCCCTGGGGCAGGGATTGGCCAGCATGCCTCTCTGTGAGGGTCTCAAAGGGTGCTGATGTTCTTCTAGTCCTCCTCCAGTGAGGAAAAACTATAATCAGAGGTTTAAACTCAGCAAGCTAAACTAGAGCTTCATCGTAACACGGACTGTTGAGACTTCAGTGCAAGAGGTTTCACTAAAATTATTCTAATCTAATCCAATCTGATAATCTGATCTAATCTAATCTAATCCTGTTTTCCCAGAGCAGGAAGAGGAAATATCACTTTCTACTGACATCTGACACCTAATCCTTGCCCAAGAATCCCGGGAAAAGGACGTTATGTAAGGTGAGGGGTTTTGAAATCATGCATTGGTTCATTAAAATCAGTGCATTATCTATACACTGCTGGAAGTATGCGGAAAATATTATTGTTTGTGTGGCTTCATGCTTTTTAATTTCCAAATAGTTCAGAGATCAGGTACTAAGCGTGAGTTTGTAAAGATAAACAGAGGTTTAGGTGTCGTGTTACTGATAAGACTCGGCCTGAGGAAGTGCAGTCACTCAGCGACTCACAGATTGAGACCAAATTGATGAGTAACTGGAGGATAGTGTTGCACTCTGGGACGTGTGAAACACCATTGCCATTAGCCGACAGATGCTTTTACCTGTTAGGGACACAAGAGCAGGAAAATGTATATCCTAGGTCAAGACTTTGAGATAGTTATTCTGAATTAAACCTGTTAACTTGCATTTATAGGAAGTCAATCAATTAAATGTTCTAAATGCACTTGCAGTCAAACGTTTGGACACACCTACTCATTCTCTCTATGACTATTTTCTATATTTTAGAATAAAAAAGTATTCAGTTATTTATTTCAATGGAAAATTGGCCAAAATTGTGTGTGTGTCTGTATATATAGTTTTAGATTTTTTAATGCTTATTAAACACTTTGAATGACTTTTGTAAATATGTTTTTCATTTATTTTTACTATTTTAATAATGTACAAACTTATTTAAAACATGTAAAAACTCATTAAATATGTTTTCAATGGTTAGAAATGTAAATGTATACAGAATTAGCTGCTGGCTGGCTGCTCTACTTTATTATATATCGTATATAAAACAAATAAAAAAAATTAATATAATTATGTTGTTGTAAAATGAATATTATATATTTTATATAAACAATACTATTATATTCCTGTAATGTAATACTTTATATAAACAAATACAATTCTCAATCAAATAATCTCAAAAAATGTTTAATAATGAAATTCATACAATCTGAGTCATATAAGCGTATGCCATTAGATATAATACAATACATCCATTCAAGTGTGTCCAACCTTTGGTACTGTATATCAGCAGTCAAGAAAAGACACTAAGATAGATGTAAATTAGCAGTTACACTGGACTAAACTTATTCAGTTGCATAAATAGCCTCCCTGAAGTCAATCAATTTGATGTAGATGATAAAGTATCGATAAAACTTTAATATAACTAGACTTTATAAAGAA